TTGAGACCCACGTTTTACTTCAGTGTTTTGGCGTGAACTCTAGAAATCATTGGGTACTCGCCTGAATTTCAATACAAAGATTCATCTACAGACAAAAGAACAGACAGAACGTTTAAATCAAATTTTAGAGGATATGTTACGTGCATGTGTGCTTGACTTCGTTGATAGTTGGGACTCGAAGCTGCATCTCATGAAATTTGCCTATAATAATAGTTATCAGGCGATAATTGGCATGGCACTGTATAGGCCGTTATATGGAAAATGGTGCAGAACACCATTGTGCTCATATGAGGTAGGGGAACGTGAGTTGATGGGTCTCGAATTGGTCCAAGTTACGAATGAGGCGGTGCAAAAGATAAGAGAGAGGATACGCGCTGCTCAGAGTAGATAAAAAAGCTATACGAATTAAGACAGAAGAATCTAGAGTTTGAAGTGGGCGACATGGTATTCTTGAAAGTGGCCTCGATGAAAGGTGTCCTATGGTTTGGACGCAAAGGCAAGCTGAGTTCTTGATTTATATGACCTTTTGAAATTTTGGAGAGGATCGGAGCCGTTGCATATAGGTTAGCCCTACCACCATCGCTGTCAACTATACACAATATGTTTCATGTTTTTGTACTTCATAAGCTTAGGCTAGTAGACTATCAAGTCATAGCATCATGAGAATGTTTATACACCCTACAGTAGTGTCAATAGACTTGTACATATATATGAGCGTCAAAGAAATGAAGATGATGGCACCAAAATTTTCAAATCCTTCGTGCAAAGAAGAAGGAACTAGTAGGTTTAATTTTGGATCCGTTTGAACTAAAATTTGAGAGTCACTAGCCTAAAGTCCAGACTTAATTTGAGAGTCACTAGCCTAAAGTCCAGACCTCGGCTCAGACTAGTAGACTATCGAGTCATAGCGTCATGAGAATGTTTATACACCCTACAGAAGTGTCAATAGACTTGCACATGAGCGTCAAAGAAATGAAGATGATGGCCTAAGCCTTTGTGCACCCTATAGTAGTGTCAATAGACTTGCACATATGAGCATCAAAGAAATAAAGATGATGGCCTAAGCCTTAGCTTCACAAAGTCTACCAGAGAATCAAAGAAAGTGCAAAGGTTGCAAATGGAGTTAAGAAAGTGCAAATGGTCGATATACAAACGTTTGGAGACCATCTCCAGTTTCATCATTTCTAGTACCAAAATTCCATGGGTTAGATGTCTCACAACTGTCTGTTTTCCTAAGGCTATTCAGATATCTCACGACCACTTATATGGTTAATATTCACTCTTCAATGTCCAAGGACATTTTATAACTACCACGAAACTCAAAACATACAATAAATTCATACAAGTTTTACAACATATTATACTTCGAAATAGAGTTAGATTGCTTACTTGATCGCGGCAAGACATGTCATTGAGCTGAGTCTTAGAATTATACAACTCTTTATCCTAAGAAAAAATCTATATAATCTAAAATCCGACTGCTCTGATATCAATCTGTCACAACCAAATTTCAAGGGTTCAAAACTGAAATAGAAATTAAAATTGAAAGGGAAAACAAATAAAAATAAAAGTAAATTAATATAAAATAAGAAAATGACGTAAAATTAAAATAAAACCATTCCTTATCTAGATTCAAATCTTGATTTCTTCACAAAACTCTACAAAATTTCTCTTTTAACTCTCTTTCAAAATAACTCCTCTTCTTTATTTTCTTCCCCTTTTTTTTTCTTACTGTCCCCTACTCAGTAAAGATGGGTCAAAATGAAAAATTTACCCAGCAGTTAATTTTGACTGTTTTTTTTTTTTTTGTCTTTTCTTTTATACTTTTAATGAGTTTTTAAAATTTTTGTAACTATTTTTTTTCTTCTCTACCATATTTAAATTTCGTCTTTAAATCTCTCAATAAATTCCTAAAAGTTTGAACATAAAGAAAAAATTGAGAAATTAATCTGATTTTGAATTCGTGTTATAGGATAACATAACATAATACATGTCAAACAATCACAAAGTACTACATGTGGAGGGACTACGGAGCACACGTTGTTAATACCTCGTACAATTTATCCAATCAAGCCAATAGGAACACCACTTACCTAGTTGGTCTAAAGCTAAGTCACTAAATTTCTTATATTGATGTTCGTTAGATCATACTCATCAATGTCTAGTTCCAAAGTGAAATCCAAACCGACTTCCTTCACTCTCTTTCTTTTTCTCTTTCTTTATTCAAATCGGCATTGGTTAGGGATAAAGAAAGGATGAGTTGGAGATTGAGAAATGGGAAGAGAAATAAAGAATGTGATAGAGGAAAAGGAGGGAATGGGAGGAAGGGGAGAAGATGAATAAAATGAGCACGCACGCTTAGGCCCGTTTGAACTCCTAATACCTTAAATAAAGTTGGTTATCATTCAATTCTTATAGACTCCAAGCTCTATATTATTAATACAATTATGTTTTATCTTGAACACGCCAAACATGAAACTAAAGTGCGTTCAATTTAACTCCATTTTATTGCCATCTTGAATGATGTGTAAGGGTATATGTTTGATCTACCTTAAAGTTCCTGTGACATGATAGTTTATATTAGTTAAGCTTTTTGCAAAATCACAGTTAAAAGACAACAACGATGAACCTAGGTCTATTAGTCATTTCAAAGACAATTTCTTTCTCCATCTTATTGGTAATAACAGTTCAACTAAATCCATATTATGCAAAGAAACAAGTTTACGACTCATAACAACAATTACCTAAACTATGGCCTAAAAATTTGAAAACATAAGTTGTAGTTGATAATTACACAAAAAAATTTCCTAAATCCATGAACTTGTGTCCAATTAGTCAATCCTAAAGATTGTAACTAGCATAGAGTAATTGAAGCTCCACATAAAGTAATTTAAAGTTCCCGTTACTTAACTAAAGTTTATCTCCTCTTTAATGAAACATGAATTGCACTTAAGTTCATGAAATACTTATAGACTCCAACTTTGAGTACTATTAATGCAATTATGTTTCATATGAGTTTGTCATAAACCAAACTAAGGTGCATTCAATACAACATTATTTTCTTGTCATACGAGGCAAAATAGAAGAATTAAATCAAGCAAACTGATGAACTGAACCAAATCAATTCAACCCAAATTGATTAGGTTGTTTCCTTTGTTGGGTTGTTGGTTTATTTGATAACCCTGGTATATTATAACAATTCAATATTACATGCCTTACTAACCAGTAAAATATTAGACCATCAACTTTTCATTTTATAGCCCTCCAACCACTCACAGAAAAATATATTTGAGTAGAAGTTAAAAATATTGGATGTGTAAGAAAAGACATTTGGTTTAGTGGGATGACCCTCACTTAGGGTGCAACCTCAAATACCCCTATGTCTAAATCTTTTCTTATCGAAGGACTTCATATTAATATAAATTTGTTGTTCTTATTATTTACTTTTCAAACATATCTCTTAACTTCTCTACACCAATTGTTGGGCAACAAAGTCGACATAAGGGAAGTAGAAAAGAGATATCAAAACTTAAGCATGTTCGCAATGGCTTGGCCGTTCAGCAGCAACCTAAAGTCTTTCTTTACGTCCCAAGGCTTTATACTTACCATCTTAGGAATTAAGAAAAAAAAAACAAAAATGAAGGCAATTAAAACTATAATGATAATTCTCTTAATATTATTTCATGTTTCTTACTTTCCGTAAGTATGCCTATCCAAATCTTAAGCCGGACTAGTAGAAAGCTCTTTGTTCTTATTATGTTCTTGTTTTGTTCTCCAAGACACTTTCTACATCCAAGGCTTCAATTCAAGTGCATCGAGGACTTCATGTGTTTCCTGCAATACGACAAAATACGACCTTAATACCTAGGCCCAAGGCTTCATACATACGTTTCAAGTGGCATAACAAGGACATTTGGTCTAGTGGTATGATTTTCGCTTTGGGTGCGAAAGGTCGTAGAATAAAACGAAGTAAATAAATACATTAAAATGACACATGTTAAATACATACATTCCCATGAAACTGTGAATATGGCATATATATTCTATGTGAATAAATAAGGGCTTGAGGTTGCCTTATAAAAAAAGATGACGGTACCAACCACATTTCTATGTGAATAGAGACGTCAATTTTTCTGTTATCAATGCATTCTAATATATCGTCATAAATTTTGAACTTGAAATTAACTCAAGAATATATTTTTCCCCTGTATTAATGCCCCAATAAATTATGAAACAGGATAAATAAATGATTCATAAATTATACCTAATTTTCTCCCATTTTAGAATTATAAAAAGAACCATAATGTCTCCCTTAAGAGCATGCGTTTAGAAATTATAAACAAGATTGTAAAATTCAAGATATATCCCAAGGAATAATATCAAGCTCAAGCCAATTATTGATGACGAGGTGTTTAGGGTTTTGTGATGTAAGAACCATGAGGTTGTAGCAAAGATGGTAAAACGCTTGCTTTGCATGTGAGAGATACAAGGATGGATCAATACCTTGCATTTTCAACATAAAACTATCTATTATTAAATATATTATTTCTTTTCAATTTTTTCTTGTTTATGACATATTGAGTAGCGGTATTTCTTCACTTTCACTATTATTGATGATGAGAAATTTAGGATTTTGTGATATAAGAATTGTGAGCATGTAGCTTAAATGGTAGAGCACTCACTTTTAACATGCGAGAGGTAGATGTGGGTACTAAGTAAACCATTAGCATTTCAAATTTCCTCTATTTTATTTTCACTATAAGATAGTGGTACAAATGAAAAACAAAACTAAAAAAGACTTAGTCCCAAGAAACGTATATGCATTATTGTATATTTCTTAAAATATTAATTGAAGTACAAATTTTACTGTAGGATGAACTATGTGAAATTAACATGACAATAATAGTAGCTTCTAGAGCACAAAACACGTGCATAAATTTCAAATCTTGAGGCGCAGAAAACACATGAAGTAGCAACTAAAAATGACAAATTCACTATTAGGGTATTTGGTCTAGTGGTATGATTCTTGCTTCGGGTGCAAGAGGTCTCGAGTTCAATTCTTGAAATGCCCCTGTGGCTGGTTTGTTCTTGCTTTTGAGTGGTTCTTAGCTCGAATGACACCAAAAGATAGCCCTCACGTCCAAAATCCATATTTAAAATCTTGAAAAGATCTTAAAATTTGTGTTTAAATGATAATATTAAAATGATAAGAAATGAACCGATATAATTGTTTAATTTTTATGGTATAAAATACATATTATTTTAAATGATAATAAACCACAAATAAATAAATCATTTCGAATAGATAGAGTTACAATATGGTGTTAAGTTTAACCACAAAATATTAATTTTCTAAAAATTATCGAAAATCATTATGCAATTGAGTTGAAGTTAAAATTAAAACTAAAAGAGTTCTCTTAACCATTTTTTACATTATATAATTAATTTTAATATAAACTAAAACAACCGACCAATCCAAATGCCCCTAAATTTGGGCAGTTTTCTTCAAGAGGAGCTCCAATTCCGCAAGTAGTCGGCCATTTCTCGAATGTTCTTCCTGTGCACCAAAGAATTATCCAGAAGGTCGTGGATGTTGGCGGCGATTAGAGTTTTAAACCTCGCGTCTTCCTAACCTGGCTCACTTCTGATCTCCCATGGCTCTCAACCCTAATCTGTTTTCAAATGGGATGCCCGTTCCCTTCACCCACGAGCTTTTCGTATTGGCTAGAGATGGCGTTGAATTTGAGGTTGATAAGATCCCCGGGTTAGTTCTATATCTCCTTTATTTCCTTTTCGATAACCATTACGCGACCGACCATTGTAATTGAACTAATTTGGGAATTTGCTGTGTGGATGATTCCTAAATTTGTGTCATATGATGGTTGCTTATTTTGTTTCTGTTTTTCTAAATTTTTCCTGGTTGAATCAGTAATCCGATTTTCGAATTTGAGTTGATTCTGGGTACAGAGTCATTCTGATTGACCTTAATCGTGGGGACGTCTTTTATAACTTTATTTAGTGTACACTGGGTTCGATGGGGTTGAGGTGTGATTTATTATTGAAGGTACCATAAAGCCTACGCGAGGAATCGTCGAATTTGGGAACTTAAATCTTTTTTATTACAATGTTATTGCGTTGACTGATTTGACCTTGTTCAATTCAATAGTAAAACATAGATTCTTCTCCTTTTTGGTTTTGGAACCAGCTAGAACAGGACAGACTTATAGAACTAGTTTCTTGGACTTTTTTAGTAACTGGATCTTAAATTCTATGGTAGAGGAGCTATGGAGATTTCGGAAAATTTTCCATCTGTTATTAACCATCGTTATATTCTTCATTTTTCTCGATTTGTGCATGTCATCCTAGTACAGGGGCCATGCTAATGTTCTTTGTATAGTTCCAGTTTTATCAGATTTCTTCGTAGGGACATCTTTATATTATTCATATTATATGGTTACCCGATCTCTCTCTTTTCAGAATCTGTTTCTGGCAGTTTGATTAATTTTATTTATGAAGGTATTCTGAGCGAGGGAAGTATGGTAGATTAAGCTAGACATGAAAAATTTTAAGAACTCATTACTTAATTCTTTGAATAAAGAATGCAGCTGTTTGGCATATATGGAAAATGTAGATACTATGTTTCAAAAATGTTTATATATTGGAACTCTTTTTAAATTTCATGAAGTCAAGTTCGGACTTTTTGAGTTAATATACTCATGGATGCTTTAAAATTTTTCTTGTTTCAAATATTAAAAACTAGTTGCTTCTCTGCATTGTGTGTATGTATACCTGCAAGAGAGATTCATCCAGTTCTTTGTGCATCCATCACTTCTTGTATGAACGAAAGTAAGGAATTTGGGTGTTTAGCCAAAGGGGCAATCTCTATTTGGCTACAATGCCAAATAGCTATTAAATACCATATTTAGCTATACTGTCATACATTTGACTTGAGAGGAAAGAAAAGATTTTCAAAGTGGTGATGTGATGTCTTAGAGGAGGAATTTCATATTCGATTAGTAATGTGTCTTTGGGTGTGGACTAAAGAATTTTGCAATCATTTTGAACAATTTGAGCCTCTTTTCCTAGTGGTTATTTTTTTCATGGGCAGTTTGTATGTCCATTTCTGCTATGAAAGTTTGGTTTTTCATAAAAGGAAAAGAAAAAATAAAGTTAAGGGTTGGCCAATGAAAGTATCAGTCAATAAGAAAAGTATTGGTCAAGTGCCTAGTGGAGCAACTAGTAGTCTATATGATTTGGACATCCGGGCGAGTTAGTACAAATCGAGCAAAGAGGGAGGTAACTCAAGAGAATGAGTTACCTGCCCTAGGGAAGTGTCCACAGTATTGTGAGTGGATTTCATTGGTCAATCCATGTTGGCTGTTTAATCATGCAATGTGCTTGAGAGAACACCGGAAGTTTCTCTATGAATTAGAGTGGACGTGCCTCATTGGAGAGAGAGTTCAGTGACCAACGTTTGCTCCAATGAGGAGTGTCAGGCTGTCATGATGATGAGGAAACATGCTTGAACAAAATGATAATGTTGCCTATTTGCAATTACAGGTGGCTTAAGAAGAGTAGGCTAAAGGGGAGAGACGACAAGAGAAGCACACCATTAAGAGAGTGTGTTAGTGGTGTGCTTGCAAGTCTCATCCAAGAGGTAGCATCCTTCGGCCAAATGGGCCCAAGCTTGAAACCAAGAGTTGCATTGGAAAAAAGAGCTTGTCAGTTTTCCATGAAGCAGGTATCTGCTTTAGTTTGAGAGTAGATGAGAGTGGGGTTCATTCAATGAGGTAATCTCATAGTCAATTCTGTTAGTATAATAGTGTTTAGCACAAAAATAGCACATAGTAGTGTGTTAGACCTTACCTTAGGAAAATAAAGGATTATTATTGGGGGACACAACCATTGCACCTGGGAGGAGTGAATTACTACTCAGATGAAGCAAGTGAGAGAGTGGATGACAACAAGTAAGTCATACGTCGAGCCAACTACCAACTGAATTTTCCTATGAAGGAGAACGACGCAGTGGCAAACCATGAATGGGGAAAATAGCAAAAGTTAAGCATGAGTTGGGAACTCCCAAGTTAGTGAATGTACGATTGGAGTCACATCATTGATGCATGAGTGTGTAAGCTGTTGCTAGGGAAAAAAAAGGTGGGGGAAAGTACGACTTGTAGTTTTAGTGTGCATGCTATTGCTAGAAAACAAGGTGGGGGGATTTGGTCGAGTGGGTAGAGTCCCATGTCTAGCAACAGATATTTGGTCTTTATCGATGGAAGGTTTAGGTGAGAGAACTATAGCCTTAAGAGGCCAGAGGTAAGATTATCTTTTCTCCGAACTTCCATGTGTCTTATTTAAAGGTTTTTTGCTTTTTAATGTACAAGATAATCTTCTTAAAATCTGTTCCTATTCTAGGGTTAGCACTAGGCTTGAGAATAAACACACAAAAAGCTGTGGGATTAATTTTCCAGCTCAATACCATCTGAGGTTGCATTTGAATCTTTGACCTCATGGTTATGATTATATGTTTTAACTAATTGAGCTATGCTAAAGTTGACAAGTTGTTGAGATTATTTAGGACCTAAGATCTATGTGATTTTTGTCCATTGAATTCTAGGGCAAATACTTGTCCTTTCACACTTCACCATCTTGTCATGTTAAAGTAACTTTCCACATCTAGTTCATGAATAAGGAAGTAGTGAAGGTAGGATCAACTATCACAAAGCCTCACACATAAAAGAATGAGGTTGAAGTGTGAGCTGCCCGGTCTTACACAGTGTCACTCTGCCCCTTTTTTATTTGGTTATGCTTTCCTCACACCTGAAAAAATCTTTACGAGGGTATCTAGAACTTTCTGAAACAATCTTGGTGAAAAAATGTTAAGAGAAAATGTTAGAAGCTTTATTTGGGGTTGTAATGGCCATGAAAGGCAAATACTCTTCTCATTAATGGGGGGGGGGGGGGAAAAAAAACTT